ACACTTCTAGAATCGTCGCAAGTGATCCCAATCCAATTGATGCAAGGACTGCTACCGACCCAAGAAGACAAGAGAGATTGGCTTTGGTTGTCAAGACTCACTTTCCACTTGACAAGAGCCTCAGCTTCTTGATTATTGCTGGCTAGAGCAACTTTGTATTTGGCAACAGCAGTACCAAATACCGAAGTTGCAGAGGAAGTATAAGCAAAATCAAAGAAAGAAGAAAAGGAGAAAAGGAGGAAAAACAATGAGAATGGTTTGGGTGGTAAGGACGTCGTATCCATTTGAAAGGGATGTGTATGGTTTGCTAAATGTGCTCCTAGGCTCCAAGTAGAGGTATTTATAATATTTTCCTTTCCTCAATTACAAATGGTATGAGACTCTGCAAGGCAAAATGGATAAGATGGGACAATATAGACGTCTCTCAAGTCCGCTGGGTTTTAATTGCTTTTGGTTTTTTGTTCTCGCGCTTCACATGCAGGTTGAAGCTCTTTTAAAGATATATATATATATATAACCTTTAATTATTCAATAGATAGATGTAATTTACGTTGCTGCGTGAGACATGCTTGTGGGATAATTCATGACTTTTGAACCAATGTACTACCATACATATAAGTTTTTTGCTTTAATTAAATATGCTTTTAATATAAATTAATTTAACATCCTTTTCAATTTTTTTTAAATAAACAATTAAACACTCTATTTTTGCTTTTGGTTTCTGTTATCGTGCTTTAGAAGGTGTACCTTAATTATTCGATATAGAAATTATAATTCACGTTGCTATGTGAGACGCTTGTGGGGGCTAATTCATGACTTTTTGACTGATGCATTTTCACAAACTCATTGAAAGAATAGTTAACTTTAACTATACAATATCTTTCATTACATAATTATGACTCAAACTTACTTCACTAATATCATTTTACTATGATATATATAGTACCAACTTTTTTCTTTCTTTCTTCTTTAACCTATCAAATATAAATGTTTGAGACAATTGATCTTTGCAAATTACTCATTCTAATAATATCATTTCTAGTTAATTTTTTATTTTGCTTCTAAAAGTGAATCAAAAAATGAGAATACATGTATCTAATAATTAGACATTTACAAAAATGAACTCTTTCTATTCTGTTGTTTTCAAAATTAAGACACACATCCGCTAAGAGCAACACTCTGCTCGCACAAGATAGTAGGCATGCAGACTCCACATCCTACAACGTTGGAGGTCATCCAGCCAACCCAAAAAAGGCAAACAATCAAAGTGATCAGGCCATGTCTGTGCCCGCAACCACAACCAACATCTGTGAATGTGACCAACAAGCAACATTGAAAAGAATTAATAAGATTAAGGGTGGTCAAAGTAAAATAATAATTCATTATAAATAAGATTATGCAAGTATTCGAAACACTATATTATGGGTTTTCGGTCAAAGTAATTTATTCATAATATTGATCAATTTGATTTGAATATTACATTGAGGTCTTGCAACAATCATAAGATAATATAATAATGATGATGATAAATGAAACTAATTTTAAGTATATGTGCAAAAAGAATTAATATTGTTTTAAAATTTTAGATTTTTTTTGGTACAAAGGGAAGAGGCTAAGCTAAGCCCTCAAAACACAGTTTAAAATTAAAATTTTAGATATTGTTACTAACGAAACTAAAAGAATTACATATCTAATTATAGTAAGCCATAATATTTAATTTTAATATTGAAAACTTCATTATATTTTAGATATTCTTATATATCCTGATCAAACTTATCATTTAATGTTGTGAAAAGGAAAACTAAATCGGGAAATATAAGAGTATTTATAGGATGGAAAACATTATAATCTTTTCCTTTCCTCAATTACAAATGGTATGAGTCTCTGTAAGGTAAAATGCTTAGTCTCTCAAATCCACTCATTTTTGCTTTTGGTTTTTTGTTCTCGTGCATCACAAGTTGAAGCTCTTTTAAAGAAATTCTTTTTGACTTTAACTATTCAATAAAGATATTGTAATTCACGTTGCTACTTGAGACATGCTAGTGGGATAATTTATGTATTTTTACAAACTTGTATCAAGAGGGAGTAAGGGTATCACTTCGTTGTTAATCTTAAGACTATGCAACATCTTCCATTACATAAAAATCAAATAATTTAGAGTGATTATAACTTGCACTTACTTCACTAGTACCATTTTTTTTATGACTATATATATATATATATATAAGATTTAGTACAAACCCTTTTTTATTTTTCTTTAACCTATCAAATATCAATGTTGAGTCAATTGATCATTGCAAATTACTATTCTATTAATATCATTTCTAGTCAATTCTTCATTTTGCTTCTAAAACTGAATCAGCAGATAAGAATACATCTATCTATACTTTAAACACTTTTCTAATATAAATTAATTTAGCACCATCTTATAATTTGATTTTTTTTAAAAAAAAATAATTAATTACATGTTTTTTATTTATTGATAAAAATCAAACATATTCATAGAATACACTTAAACTCAAATATGAAAAAATTATTAAAATTATAAATTAAATTACACAAATTTCGATAGTCTACAATTAATATTTATTAGTTTTTATTTTACACTTAAATTTTTTAAATCATTACAATATTAAAATGTATTATATAGACTTATCTGTCACATTGCACATATTTGACGACTATGTTAGTGATCATACCTATATAAATATTTTAAAAATTAAATATGCAAAACCAAATATTATTTTTTATTTTTAATTCAATCACCGTCAACTAGTCATGTGTATCCATCATTGGATTTGATGTAAATTAGATGAAAAATTTAAGATTCAAAATTGTAAAATTATCACAGCATTTAACCATTGCAAACTGACAATGACAATTTGACTTCATCAAATTGCTTGATGAAGTCATAGTTCGTTTTTCATCAATTAATTAACGTACGTGAGACACACACACTTGTGGGTTCCCTCCTTGCCTTGATTATCGCAGTTGCAGATTCCTGCTTTTCTGGTCCTCAAATTCGGCAAATTACGTTCACAATTGAAGGAGGAAATTCTGCCATACAGCTCACATTTCTAATTGCCAAGAAGTCCCAATATTTCATTTAATTAACTAATTATAAATTAAATTAACTTAATTAATTCTTAGTCTAACCAAATTAAATTTAAATTAAAAGTTAAATTAACTTAATTAATAAAAATATTACATTTAATTGACAAAATTACCATTAATTAAAAACTTTATTGTCATTCAACCAATTAAACATAAATAACCTAATTAATTAATTAACAAAACTTAAATCAATTTAAGTTAATTTATTCTAATTCTAACCAAATTAAATTTAAATTAAAAATTAAAAAAAATTAATTAAAAAATTTACATTTAATTAACAAAATAACAATTAATTAACAAATTTATTCTAATCCAACCAATTAAACATAATTAAACTAACTAATTAATTAACTAAGCATAATTCAAATTAATATAATTAATTCTAATTCTAACCAAATTAAATTTAAAATAACAAGTAAATTAACTTAATTAACAAATTTTTTACATTTAACTAACAAAATAAAAATTAAGTAATAAACCTAATATGTCTTTAATCCATTGCTAAAAGTTTATTTAACGAAAGAAATTGATTCATAGCTAAGAATTCCTCACAAAATCAGTTTTTATTCCGTCGCTAAATGTAATTGAAGCTGATCTAATGCTATTTAATCGCTATTTAGCAACAGTTTGAACTCATTATTAAAATCCATCTCTATTTAGCAAATTTCTTGTAGTAAATAACTCCTTTGACACAAAAATCAAAAGGGCTATTGGTGAGATGGTCGGATAGAGCTTTGAAAAAACAATTTGCGATAGAATTTACTGCTTCCATGATCAAGATTGGAAATATGAAGCCTCTTAGCAAAACAAATGGATGTTGGAATTGTCTGTCTATCGTATGAATTTTATTCTTTTTATTTGTTTACATAATTAATGTCATTAATTATCATGATTTTTGCAAGTGTAACATTGTGTTCTTACTCAAGAAATTTTCAGCAAAATTAATTAGTTTTAATCCTAATGGTCCTACTATCGTCAATGAGCTTAGCCTCATATTCGAGTCTTGTTGATCTTTCTACCTTAAAAACCAAAAAATAGAGCAAACATCTTGCCAAAATTGAAATTATACGTACATAGAATGATTATTTTTTTTTAATTGATTGCTATTTCACTACATACTTTCATACATAAAAAATGAATCTTATGATCAATCAAAGAATAAACGTAATTTGACACTGATTTAGTCTAAAAATGATGAACTTAAATCGAGAAAAAATAAGAAAAAAACCTTGATCTCTTTTATCATCATATGATTTCTCTACATGAGAAAAGTTCTATATAAATAAAAAATTAATGAAAGTATTTTTTGACTTGTAATGTTTAAAGACAAGTTTGTTACGAATTTGCCTCTTAAATTAAACAAATCAATTATCAAAGGAGGTCATGTGTTATAAGGGCTTCAATCTTTTATTCTTCAAAAATTATTCCTCCTTGTAAGATGAGAAAATTTTGTTTTTCAAATCATGAAGACCAATGGAGTTAATTGTCTCTCTTTCTTACTTTTAATCAATCAAAATAAAAAATAATACATGTTAGTGAAACCATTTTTATTATTTTTAATCCAGGATATTCAATTTTAAATAAAAAATCTTTTTTTTTTTTTCAAGTACTTGAGGACCCTTGAAAATCACCTCGAATCTCATTTATGGATCCATTAAATCCACCAATCAAATGATGGATTATTTTCGAAAATTATTTAATAAAATTCATGTTAACTTCTGGTTGCTTACTGCTACTCGTTCCATTAATACTGCTATTAAGGTCTTTCTCTTAATTTTCTTTTCACTATTTTTTCGTTTTTAATTATTGGGATTTTAAAAAGTTTCTGTTTTTGTTAATTAGTTCTTCTGGAAGAGTGAGATTTTATGATTATACTGTGGATTAAGGAGAATGAGCATGATTTTGCAATCTGGGAAGGACCATGCTTCGTTTGGACTGTCTGTCCATCTCATGTGGTTGGTCCTTCCCTGAGTAGTTCTTTTTTGTTGTTGTTTGAAGTGTCAACTCTCAAGGGTTTTTTTTTTTTTTTTTTAAATGCTGTGCTATAGGAGATTGGGGACTTTGGGAACTGGATGAAGACTATGGAAGTTGATTGTAAAAGCATAACCGCAGCGATACATGACATTCACCAAGAATGAACTTACGGTTGAAAAGTATGCTTTTACAAAATTTGGCTGAATGGAGAAATTTTTGCCTCGGACAGCTCAGTTACTATAAGTTTGTGTTTGCTGTACATTTCAGCGTTTTCTCAACTGGTTATTTATTGTCTTCATGTACTTTTGTCTTCTTTTTTTAATAATTCCTTGCAATTCTACGTCCCCAAATGATGTGTAAGTTTTTGTCTCTCTGATTATGTGTTTTTTGTGTGTGTTTGTCATTAGCTGGAGTTCAAAGTCAGCTCGTTTGAATCCAGATTGATGGAGAACTCTTGAGAATGCTTTTTATGATGTGGGTTGACATTTCAATCCAAGATGCCGATACCCTAAGTAAATTTTAAGCTATGTTTCTCATCTGTCCCCATCAACGTGCCACTGATTTTGCCCTTTCTTTTTATCATTTTTTCTTCTGGATTGTTTATATAAATTCATTACATAAACGACTTCTGGAAGAACAGAAGCAATACAAGTGAACAACAACTCATTTGCAAGACTGAAAGGTGGAGTCTTTTGTAAAAACAGACATCATGATTGACTTTCCTGATCTTTAGCCGTGAAAGATGTTTGTCTTCTTTGGCCAGTTGGCTAACCTAATTTCACTGGAAGAAGTTGACATTCTATTTGGCAAGTTGCATTCATGTCTTCTGCTAGTAATTTTTTTTACTAACAACAACTGTCAATATTTGAATTTTGAAGACCTGAATATCATGCAGATTTTCAAGATCGATCGAAGGGTTCTAAAATTTAAAAATCACCAAGCCAACCTAATTATGTGAAACATTTTTATAAAAATAATAATGTACCTCTAAACGAATCAAGGAGCTGAATTTTCTCTAAATGAAACCAAACTTTATAGCATCGCAAATTCTAGATGTTGTAAACTTGTAATTACTTCCCAATAAATGCAGCCTTAAGGCTGCATTTAAAATGTTGTTTACGGTGTATTTGCGCGGTTTTGATATGTTGATATCAAACATAAAAAATAATAAAAAAAAAACACCTGAAAAATTGACGCATCTGCAATCCAAACTCAGTTTTGCAAAACACCTGCATCTGACCAATGGTCTATCCTAGGATTAATGAAGAATGTGTCTGACCAATGGTCTTTCTTTGTTTCTTGTCAACTATATATTTTAAGCCATCACTTAGTTGACTTCTGTACTCGAATAAGGAAACAAATCTTACAATTAAGTACTACTCCCAATAAAAAAGAAAACAAAATCAACCAACGCTGGAGCTGTGTTGGTAGAAGAACCAGAAGCCTTTAAAAAACAAACAAATCCGTTACTTTACCAGATCTGAACCATTCAACTTGAGGAAATCCAGATGGTTTCTTTCAAAATATAAAGAGATGGCAGTAGAGTGACCAACTGGGGCAATTTTTTGTACTTTGGTGTTTCCATGATCAAAATGGGAAGTATGAAGCCTTCCACTGACAATGGAGAAAGCAAAATGAATTGCAGGACAATTAACCAATCTTGAATGTGCTTGCCTTGTTCTACGAGCAGGAGATCAGGCATGTTTGCCTCTTTACGCATTTTATCGTTAATCTTTCTATGTTCATGCAATGTCACTGGCATGAAATTGCGATTGTAACATCATTATTTGCTAAGTACGGCAATGCAAAAAAAAGAAAAAGAAAAAAAGGTTTGCTTATATCTTTCCTAATGATCGCCCTATTACAAACATGAGAAACGTTTATCCGACACACTGTTTTATCTGCAAAACTGTAATTTACAGTTATTGCTTATTGGTTTTTCCTGATTCAATTGTCAAAAAGTAAATATAGAGTGTATGTACTTGTTCTTTCTTTTATCATTATTTGCTGCAAAATCTGAATCGAAGAGTTTGAGAACTGGATGAAAATCATGGAATTTGAATGCAAGAGTTATTTGTTAACGAGAAGGGAATTGAATTGGAGAATAGAGCTTTGACTGCTACAATTACTCAAAATATGAAGCAAATTGTTATGTGGCTTATTGCTATTCATGCTATCAATACTGCGATCTCTTTAGTTCTAACTGTTGCCATATCAATCTCTGCTTTGTTACATGTGTGCTAGATTTCTGTTGGAACTATATCAAAATGCTTGACTATCCATTTCTGTTAGATTTCTGCCGTGTTAGGCTATCCTATCCGTTCATAATGCGTCAGCTAGATTATATTAGTGGATAGGATCAACTCACAAATGCATGAATGAATGCTGTCTGGTTTTTTAATACTGTCTAATTTCGGGCTCACAGGAAATTGTGTTGTTTGACAACTGGATGAGGACTGAGGAATTTGTTTGTAAAAGCATCAATGCAGCAATCCAAGACATTCACGAAGAATGAATTCATAATCACAGAGCATGTTGGTTACTCCAATGTCAGCATATAAAAAAAATATGCTTCTGTCAAGATGATTCATGACGTGTCTTTTGCAAATGTTCAAAAAGACTGGTAGCCATCAATCAGTCAGACTTGCAAGTGATCAAAAAATGTTTGCAGACAAACAACCATCTGTTCATTCACATAAACTCAGTTTCTTTAAAATTTTTGAACCCTATCTGATTCGGTTAGCAGTCCATGCCTGCTGAGATTTGTCTTGTTTCTGAATACAGGAATCAGTATTGATTTGGTGAGCATTCTGAAACCTTTCCTTGTCTTTAACTGAGAAAGTGGTTCGTCTTATTTGAGCTGGTTGGCTGACTCTACTGGAGGAAGTTGCAGTTATCTGTGATATTGATGAGAACGTGCTGTCTAGTCGAATTAGTGAAGATGCAATCTGACTTGCTTATCTTTTGTCAACTAAATAGAAGTAGAACCGCAAAAGTTACAGAAATAAACAGATCAATAACTTCTACAGATCTGAGGCATTAATTCAATGAAGTTGGAAAGTAAATTTTTCTGTCCTTTTGAATCTCCTTAAACCTTGGAAGAAACCTAAGCTTTTGTTAAGAACTAGTATTTTATTTTAAGAGTTCAAAAATTTAAGAATCTGCACTTATTTTCTGCGGGAATATTAGCATGATCCTCACATAATACAATAATTTAGAAGTTCATTTGCTATTAATTGCAAGTTGTCTCTACATGGAACAAACTCTTTAAAATATTATAATAGATAAGCCAGCTTTTGTGTTTGCCTACGTACAAAAGCACATGCACCTTACTGCTAGTTGTGCAATTGTGCTGCAATTTAACTGAAAGTTTCCGAGCTTATACCTATGGCTGCTCTTCTATCTTTCTTATTGTATTTCGCTGCAATTGCTGCTATTTTGACCCCTTTACATGCCAGATTGGTCCCTGACTACTTATACTTACAGTGATGTAAAGCATTGAGTAAGATTAAAGATATTGTGTCTGAGTCTATCTCTGATGATTCACACATAGGAGCATTGTTACTTCGCTTGCACTTCCATGACTGCTTTGTCAATGTATGTTCAATGTTTTTGGCTTGCGCACCTGTGCCTTTTTTCCTTTTCTAATCCTGCATTTTTCTAACGTGGCATGCAGCATAAAGCTTCATGTATTGCACAGAAGAATATTTTGTTCTGCAACCTTAAGTCTACGTACCAGCTGTTGTTAGCTTAGTGGTACTTGCCCCTACAATATAGAGGAGAAGGAGTAAGTCTTGGATCTGAGTTCAGTCATTTCCACATGAAGAACCTGTAAAAAATCTTCATGTCTTGATCCTAATGATTAACGACACGTGAATGGTGGATATTAAAAATAATTTAAGTTCAAGCGGTAGAGTATGAATATTCATACATCAAAATCACTAATAAAATATGATTTCATACCTCAGAAATTTATTGCTGTATTGGCTGCAGGGTTGCGATGGATTAGTACTTCTAGATGACACAGCCAACTTCACTGGAGAGAAGACTGCCTTTCCCAATATCAATTCACTCAATCCAAAGGTCTTAGATTTGGTTGACAAGATTAAAATTCCCGTTAATAAAGCTTGCAATGGAAATGTGGTCTCATGAGCGGACATCTTGGCTGTTGCAGCTGGTGACTCTGTCTCCATTGTAAGTAGATAATATTGCTTACATGCTATAGCATGACTCTACTTAGTTTCCTAAGCATTTTTAATTACTTGTGACTTTATTTTTTGTTAAAAAAATAATCTTGAATCACTTATCAGAACAAAATCTTAGTGAAGTAAAGAGCTTTCTTTTTGTGTGTAGTTTTGGGGGGGGGGGGGAGGGGTGTCCTATATGCACCTACATGGATTATTTAGGCAGAAATGATTCAAGAACTGCAAACAAGGATGACGCAAACTCCAATCTTTTGATACAAAGTACTTTATGGATTTGATTAACAACAAGGGTCTCCTCCATTCTGATCAGCAGCTATAGAAGGGTGATGGTAGTCAAAGTGATCAACTGGTGCAGAAATATAGAGATAATCAACTTGCCTTTGCGGTGGACTTTGGGGCTACCATGATCAAAATGGGAAATATGACATCTCCTACCGACAATGGAGAGATCCGAATGAATTGCAGAGTGGTTAACCCTTCTTCAAAATGTAAATGCAGTTTTCTCATTCTATATTTAATCTATGTTTTTTCATGTAATCCCAATGGCAAGAAATTGCAAGAGTGACCTTGTAATTTGGAAACCAAGGAGATAAAGAAAAACTTTATTATCATCTTTCTTAACTGTTATTATCATTCATGTACAACAAAGCACATCTCAGCGCAATATTCTATCAATTCAGCATTCTGCAACGTTCACCAAGAATCAATTTCTTACATAAATGAATGAATGAAAAATTGTTGCCACAGCGATTTCTTTCTTGATCAGTTATTTTTACCATTTTCGATGTCTCTGTGTGTTTGAGGACTAGGATTCAAAGTCAGCTTCTAAACACGTTCTGTATTAACTTGGATTCTGTCTCATATCCAAGTTCCTCATCTACCATGTGCACAACGTGGCTACTAATTGCTAGCCCAAGGCCTAAACTGAGAAGGTTTTTCTTGTTTGAACCAGTTGGCTAAATCAATTCAGCTGCATTGGGAAGCTTATGTGAAGGAAGTCAAGTAAATGATTTATCACACCAACATTTGACAATCATTTTAATAAGAAAACATGTTGCCAGACCAGAGAATGATACTTGTCACTCATAACACCTACGTTGTAGAGTTATTTTCATATAATATCTATCATTATATCTCTAGTTGAATTAATTTTATTTCTGAATATATGAAAAGTTTCTAATCTATTATTTTGACAAAATTTTCAGAAAACATCCCAGAACAAATCAAGTGAATTACATATAATTATTTTTTATTTTCAAAATACTCTTACAACTTAGACATATAGGAATCTTTCATTTACAAATCATGACTAATTCTGATGGTTTAATTTGAAAATCTTGTTAAAAGGATAGATTAAATAATTATTTTATTATATAAAGACAAATTGAATCGTTAACCCTAAATATAAACCAAACTAAAAGGGAAGAAACAATCATTTTAATAAGAAGACATGTTGAACACTCAAATTAAGAAACATGTTGCCAGAACAGAGAATGATTTTGTCATTGGCTGTAAATTGAAAATAAGAGACGTTTTAGTATTAAAAAAATAATAAAATAGAATACCAGTTCAAGCAGTGCAACGTGCGGGACACTTTCTTTGTAAAAATGATATAAATCTGAACTGTTAGTAATGTGGTCAAAAGAAGAAAAATCAAACCAAAACCTAACTCCATTTCTATTGGAAGAAGAAGCAAGCTCCAGAATGTCAGCTTCTTATTTTATAGGAAGAAACATTTGGAAAGCTCAGGACCGTAAAAACAACAATGGAAGTAAATGCACCAGTTGTTAATGATTGGAATAGGGCTAACTAAAATATTATAACACATAGAACAAGCAGATGTAATGTCATTGTTTCTGCCTATAAATAGCGATGATTTTTGGTTCTAGTACTTGCACTGCAATTTGGTATAAACTTCTGAGCTTAATATCTATGGCTTCTCTTCAATCTTTCTTGTTGTCTTTTGCTGCATTCACTGCTATTTTGATCCCTATAAGTGCACAGTTGACACCTGACTTCTATGATAAAGTGTGCCCTGAAGCATTGCCAACCATCAGAAATATTACCAAGCAGGCAATCCTGCGTGAGCCACGAATGGGAGCATCACTGCTTCGATTACATTTCCATGACTGCTTCGTCAATGTAAGTATACTTTGGGGTTAGACACCCCTTCGCCTTTTTATTGCTCAATATGTAAAGCCAGCAGATTTAGATGTTTACTGTTGCATTGGCTGTAGGGTTGCGATGGCTCGAATCTTCTAGATGACACAGCCAACTTCACCGGCGAGAAGACTGCCCTGCCCAATTTGAATTCACTCAGGGGCTTTGAAGTGGTTGACCAAATTAAATCAGCTGTCAACCAAGCTTGCTCTGGCAATGTGGTTTCATGTGCAGACATTTTAGCCGTCGCAGCTCGCGACTCTGTGAACCTTGTAAGCAGGAATTGATAGCATAAATCCACCTGTCTTTTTTTTTTTTTTTTTTGGTTTCTCTATAGAATTTTTCATTTATTGTGATCTTTATTTGAGTGCAAGAATCATAGCATTAATGAATCAAGGATTTTTTTTTTTTTTTTTTTTTTGGGTTGCAGTTGGGGGGTTCTTGTTACAAGGTGTTATTAGGCAGAAGAGATTCAACATCTGCAAGCAAGAGTGATGCAAATACCAATCTTCCTCCCCCACTTTTCAACTTCTCACAGCTTCTTTCTAATTTCCAATCTCATGGGCTAAACCTGACGGACCTAGTTGTCCTTTCAGCAGGCCACACCATTGGACTTGCTCGGTGCACCACTTTCCGCGACCGGATTTATAATGACACCAATATAAACTACCAATTTGCCGCTTCCTTGAAATATAGCTGCCCGAGAACTGGAGGAGACAATAACACACAGCCTCTTGATTCAACTAGAGCAAAATTCGATGCACAATATTTCAGGGATTTGATTAACAAAAAAGGTCTCCTCCATTCTGACCAAGAGCTGTTTAAAGGTGATGGTAGCGATAGTGATTGGCTAGTGAAGTATTATGGTTACATTAATCCAGGAAGATTTGCGACAGACTTTGGTGCTTCCATGATCAAGATGGGAAACATGAAGCCTCTCACCGGAAATAATGGAGAGATCAGAATGAACTGCAGAAAAGTTAATAACTAGCTAGGCTGATATTAAATGTGCTTTGCCTTGTTTCATTGAATTGCTGGTCTGTTGGAATTGTTTGTCTATTACGTTAATTTATTCTTTTTGTTTGTTTACATGATGTCATTATCATGAGTTTGCAAGTGTAACATTATTGTGTCCGGATTCAAGAAATAT